AGGCGCTTTTTGTTAATGTACTTATGAATGGTTATCCTAAGAAATGTGACATACGTGGATTTCTTACCACAAAAAAAGGATGTTTCTTTTTTGACTCATAACCCTGATAAGGTTATGAGTCAAAAAATAATTCGAGTTAAATTCAATTCATTTTCTTTCTTTTTTTTTTCATATTTTTTGAAACACAATATTTACATTAGATTAATTCCATTTTTTAAAATTTATTTTATATGAAATTTGTGATTGTGAAATTAAATTTCTCAATAAATAAGTTAGCAATTTTTAGTAAAAAGTATTGGCTATTATCAGTTTGTGTAATTGTTCTTATCTGATTTCTAATTATGCTATTTGTATTATCATTTATGAAAATATAACAATTATAATACATCATAATATCACATCTTAAAATATAATATTTTGTTACTTCTGATTTAATCATAGATAAAGTATCAAACGAAGAAAAGGCAAACAAATTATTTGCACAATATTTTAGTTTCGTCTTTTTTTTCCTTCTTTTTTTAGAAAAACAAATTGACAATTAAAAAAAAAGAAAAGAAAGGAAATAAGAGAAAATAAGTGAATAAATTTTTTTCATATTTAATTCTTTCCTTTTTTTTCATCCAATTTTTTTAAATCCTTTATAAAAATTTCTATTCTTTTTTTCCTAATTTTTTGTTTTTATTTTGAAATATGTTAAATGATATTATTTTATAGCACTATTAGTGTATATTTTATATTGTTTTCTTTATATTTATTTTATGTATACGTACGTATATATAACGTGTATCGTTTAGTGTATAAATGAAATAGGAAATTTTACATTCTTAATGCTATTAATATGTGATATATATAAGAAATTAAATAAATTTGGGTAGATAGATCCCTTTTAAGTTTTTCTTTTTGTTTTCTAGAAAATATTGAAGAAAAGATCGCGCGCATTAAATGAAATGTATATTGTTTAAACAGAGAAAGGGCGGTCCATCTAAATCTTGTTTCCGTATAGTATCATCTCGGGTAAGAAGATGAATGGATGAATGGGCAGATGATGGAACAGGGAGATGGAACGGTGGGTAGGTTTAGAAAGGGTAAGAGATAGGAATAATGATGGTAACGGGTAACGTGTATGAAAATTCGAATCTGTTCGGGGTCATAGTGCATCTTTCATTGGAAATTACAAAAAGTGTACCCTACCTCTTAAATATAATTGTTTTTTCTTTTTTTTTTTATAACCTGCAATTTTTGATTGTCTCTCTTTCCTCTTTTTCTTTTGCTTCTTCTTCTTCATCATCTTCTTGCACAGTATTTTCTATTCAATCGTCATTTTCATCTATTATTTCTTGACCTGACCTCATTTTCTTTGCTTGACCTTTACTTCTCATTTTTTTAACCTCAACATTACAAAACATTATTCAATCTCCTTCCATTGAAGCAATTTGTTATATTGCTAAGCTAGCTGTATTAAATGAGGAATGCATTTCTCATTACCATTCCCGATACTATTTAAGGTTAATTATATGCTTATATTTTTTATAATTTCAAATAATCTTTTGGAACCTTTATAATTTATTACAAATAAAATAATTTACATTAATATAATATATATTTCTGAAATTGAAAGAACGCATTTTTTACAACAAAACAACTTTTTTTTTTAATTTTTAAATTAAAAACTAAGTTTAAATTTAAAATTATTTCTGCACTGTTTCTTGCTTTATTCTGATCTTTGTTTAAAGCTTAATACAATCTCGAATTTGTGTCACATAAGATAGCTGATGGCTCAACAATGTGTGTATGTTCCGTTGTTTGTATATATGTGTGTGTGTGTGTGTATGTATGTATGTATAAATATGTATTATATATATATATGTGTGGAGTCATTTTATCCGTAGGATGTAAAATTTTACACTAACAACAACCGAAACCCGTATGTCACCCATTTTCAATATCAATTGTAACGCATCAGTCGTAATCTAAATCAATTTTCTTCTTACTGTTAAAGTTGACATTGTCGGTATTCGTTTGTTCTTTCATTTTATATATTTAATTTTCTGAAAAGACAATTTTTTTGGCGAGATTTGATAGTTTAAAAAAACTTTAACGATCAGAAGAAGGCTTCTGTATTTTTTTTTCCACCAGTATTTGTAGCGGATAATAATTATTCACAATTTCTTTTATTGAATGATGATAGAAATGTGGAAAAAATATCACTTGAAATTAAGCAACTAGCATTTATCATCTTTTTATCTTTTTTTTTTGCATATTTCATATCGATTTCTTATTTTGCTTTCGTCTCTCTCAAAGATGAAAAATCTAACAAACTTTTGCTTTCATATATATATAAGCCCAAGAGGAAAGTTTGCCAATATTTCTCATTCCTTATTCTCTTTCCTATTTTTGTATATGTTATATGCCATACTAGTTTGCTAATTAAAAATTGGTTCATACATACTTTATAATATGTTTTTTCAAAAAAAAAAATTTTTATATAAATTCAAATAGCCTAGTCCTTTTATATAATATACTTTTAAAAAAAAAATGTGACTTTCTCATTAGCTTCTTTCATTTCATTATTATACTACTTGAAAGAAATAAAAAGGATAAAGCATTTGCAAAGTTTATTTATCAAATTGCTCCAAAAATTTCCTTCATTATTTCATTTTCCCAATTAACTCTTAAGAATGGTTGTTACTTTAATCTCATTCTATATATCAAATCTAGCTGATGTCATTATTTTACATTCATTCAATTTTTAGCCATCCTCGAAAATCTCATTGGTGTTATTTTTTTAAAAAAACATTATGCCTTCGTAACTCTTCCTCATTCCAAAATTTGTGTATTCACATCCATATTGACCAGTGCTCATATTCATACTTATATTTATACTTTAATTTAGCTACACTTCTATTTATCATTTGTACTCTAATATTCGTATTCTCATGCCTAATTATACGATTAATTACATATTAAAATACATCTGAAGAAGACTAAGCAGTCTACAAGTAAGCTATGAACATTAACTAATAATTTATATTAAACATTGATTGTTGTTAGTTTTGTTTTGTTTTTTTTTTTTTTTTTTTTCGTCTGAAAAGAACTAACTAACGTTGAACAAATTTTCGTTTCATTTTGTCATTTGCATGAAAAAGAAAACAGTGATAATAGTAGGAATTCCATATATTCAAGATGATAACAGTCTCTAGCTATACTACCTTACCTATTTTCATAAGGATGGCATCACATTATTAAAAAGCTTTGCTAGCTTTTCATATCATAATTTTACATCTCTAAGAATTGTGTGCCTAATGCAATATATACTTTATATTCCCTCTCTTGGCTTGGCTTAATACTCCATCTTTTTTTCATTACCCTCTTTGTCTCCTTCCCTCTCTCTTCCTTATATTCTACTCGTATTTTTTTCATTTTTAAAATTATCGATTTATTCTTAAGACCGTGTGAACTTATTCTGTATATATATATAAAATTGTTCCAACTATATTGCCTCATCACTACTGGCCTAATTTTTCTTATATGTATAATATATACGCATGTATGTGTATGTCTTTGTCGTCTTGCTATGTGTATATTAGGAATACGAATTTTGAAGTCAGTAAAGCTTTACTTAGACAACTAATGCTATCTGACTTTACTCATCTTTTTAAGTCTTCGGGCCTAAATTATTTACTGAAGAAGCTTACGCTGATGCCTTCTTGCGACACACACACACACATACACATACACACACATACATCAATTTTAAAGAAATTAATTTGAAAAAAAAAAAAAGAAAAGTGAAAGAGCAGAGATTGAAGTATTATATTTACTGTATTAAACATATTATGATCGATTAACTTAAACAGGTAAGGTAATCTAACAAAGTAATTTAATCTATACATAACACAAACGAGATTTTTTTGTCCTATAGAAAAATAAATATAAGAAGATGGGGAAAAAATTAAGAACAAACAATAAGAAATAGTAAGAAGAGAAAAAGAAATTCAATTAGTTGAAAGAAATAATGAAGTTTTAATTAGCATTTAATTCACTGTTATTGTTTTTTTTTTTTTTTTTTTCATTCATTTACAAATATGGATTGAAAATAAACATTTGATATGTTTAATAGTATGCGATGATAGAGTTGTTTGTTTAATTTCATTTCTATTCCCTATAATAAATTTCATTTTTTTTTCTCACTATTGTTAGCATTCAATCTATAAAAAGTTAATATTTGAAAAAAAAAATCGATTGTTTGAAAATGGTAAATAAAAGCAAATCATAGTTACATAGCTGTTACAGAGAATTTTTCGCTTTTAAATTTCAGCTGTTTTCCTTTCATTTTATCTTTTTTTTTTCTTTTTTTTTTTTTGTTTGTACCTTTCTTTTTATTTCATAAGAAAAAGAAAAGGAGAGAAAGAAAGAAATAGAAAGGAAATAAACTAAACAATAAACGAGAAAAGTATTTCGATTGGTTATACAGACGTAATTTTTGAACGTCAAATTTTATTATTATGTTTGTTAAACAATCTGGAAATAACACCTTTTTCATTTTTTTTTTATTTTATTTTTTTATTTGCTTCATTTATCATTTGCCTGTAACAAACAGGAAAATTTGTAAATTTTAGAAATTTTCTAAAAATTTTGATGCTTTCATTTCATTTCTTAGCGAAATTTATTTTCCTTCTATCATTTTCCATATCATTTCTTCCTTTTTTTTATTTTGTTTTCTCTTTTCTAAATATATATATAATAAAAGGAAAAGAAAATAATTGAAAGCTTTCTTTTTTTCTCATTTATTATATATGTATATCTGATTTTATATTTATCCATACATATGTATTTATATTTAAGTAACATTGTATTAATTTTAACAGTTTATGCTTTGTCATATAGAATAGATATTTTAAAAATAAAATGGAAGAAAGAAATCAATATTGTCATGTAATATCAATTTTGCAAAATTTATTAAATTGCTCATTCTTAGCTCTTTTTGTTTTTTTCAGTTGATGAATGGTCGTGGTAAAGCGAACGGAGCGGTGGGTGATCAAACTTTCTCAAAATTTCTTTTCAATAAAGATAAGGGCACATGCCTGGGACGAACAGCTAAATCATGGGGTTTGTTATTTTTTTGTCTCTTTTTTAATTCGAAGTTTGATTGTTGAAATCATTATAACTATTTTTGTTTACCATCAATTTATTTATTATTATACTAATTAATTATCATTTCATTATCATTAAAATCAATTAAAACAATTAAATGTTTTTTATTTCCGGATATATGTATGCAAGCATGATGTTTTGATATTTTAAATAGTTATAATGATTTTTACAATTTGTCTTTATCGGTTTTGTTAATATTAGCATAATTAATATTAACAAATACTGATTTGTAGAAATCAAAAAAGTTAGTATTACTTTTGCCATTTAATATAATCAATAATATAATAGCTGTATGTTAAAAACAGTTTCGTACGTGGTTCTTTCAAATAATTATTACAGTATTTTGCATCAAAGCGTTTTATCTTCTGATTGAATCTTATTGATTTAATTATTGATAGCATTAATTTAGCTAGGTGGAAAAAAGACAAAATGTAGAGAATATGAAATTTTCTTATCATAGTGAACAAATTATATTATAATATTTCATCATTTCACCTTTCCAGTTCAAATATTGGCGTTTTATTTGGTCTTTTATTCATTACTCATAGCATTTTGGATTGGTTGCTTAGCGATATTTCTTTCCACATTGGATGAAAAAGTTCCTCGTTATTATGGCAAAGGGACAATTATCGGTGTAAACCCTGGTATGCTTCTTTTATTCTGATATTTTAATTGGAAAAAGACTGATAACCGTATCAGTGATATAAAATGATATTCGAAATTGAGAATTGGCATTGTTTGAAGTCATAAGTCATTTTCATAATATGATATGGTCATAAATCTAGACCGTAGTTATATTTCCTTCACAATTCAGATTTTTCCTTTTTTTTTTTCAACCTTCAAACTTATAAAGTTACTTTAACTTTATTGAAATCTATCACAAAAAAGTAAGAAAAAAAGAATGGGTAGAATTACTAGGTGTCATTTGCAAATTAATTTTGTATTTGGTGTCAAAAATTTCAGGCGTTGGTTATCAACCTTGGCTTTTGGATGATCCTGATTCGACTCTCATTAGGTTCAACATACGTGATAAGTCGTCATATCAGAAATATGTTGACACATTGGACAAATATCTTTCAAAATATAGCAATTTAACAGCAACCCGTAAATGTGTTGGTAATCAAAGCAATGCACAACTTTTCATGGATGGAAGTGCTAGACCTGAAATTTTATCTGGCGATGACACTGTCAAGGTTTCTTTATAAACTCTCGATCATATTTTTTTATTGGAGTTTTATTTATTTTAAAAATGATAGTAGTTCGAAATTTTCATAACATGTGTAATTTTATTAAATTTTGATACAGTTTTAAATTGATTTAGATTACTTTCAGTCATGCCGTTTTGAATTGGACAAATTCAGTAGAGCTGGTTGTGGCAAAAATATTAGTTATGGCTTCTCAGAAGGGAAACCATGCGTAATTTTAACTTTGAATCGATTAATTGGTTGGATGCCAATCGATTACGCACCTGATTCAGTGCCTGAAATTATCAAAGAACGATATAAACCAAATTTCGTAACACTGAAATGCGACGGAACGGTTCTTTTTCAATTTCTTCCTTATTCTTTTTAAATTTTATAATACCTTTTAAATTAGGCAAGTTGAATGATTGACTTTTCAATGAACTTTTTTTTTTAGAAACATAGTCCTAAAAATTCGTCGTATAACCTAGTAGTTGCTTGTTTTTTTTTAAAAAATTTATTGCAGTAATGCAAAAAAAGATTTTAATTTGTAGAGTGACATCGATAAGGAACATGTTGGAAATGTGAAATACATTCCGGAAGCGGGTATTGATGGTAAATACTATCCATATGCTGTTATGCCTAATTATCAACAACCTTTCGTAAGTTTATTTTCTTTGATGGTTCAGTGAATGATTAAATAGACGTATTATTGGGTTTGAATGATTCACATAGGTAATTTGACAATAGTATATAATATGCTATCAAATGTACAAGATTTCAGGTATATCCTTTAATCAGATAAAAACTAATTAGAAAGAAGAAAGTGTTTTAATAAAATTTCCGAGTTAACTTGTTTTAATTGACAACAGATTTGAATTGATTTTTCTTTCTTTTTTATTTTGCTAGAAAAATGGCATGAATTTTATAAGAAATTAGAGAGGAACTAAAAGTCGAACATTATGAATTTCTTATTTTGTTTTCTAATACCAGAATTATTTTCAAATGTTAAAATTTTGCTTAAAAAACGATATAATTAAAAATATTTGTTCAGTTCTCTTCGTTTATTACAACACATTGTAATCTATGTTCCTAAAATAAAGAAAAAGGTTTATAGGAAAAATTTTTTTCTCATTTCTCCAACATTCTTTTGTACTGGATTAAAAATAAGGAAAAAATCAACTAATTGTAATGAAACATTGTTGATATTTCACTGTAATTCCATTGATTTATATTATCAATGAAATTAAAATAAAATATCTGTAATAACAGTAATTCAAGCAAGAATTAATGCAATAATAAGATAAATAAAGAAAGAAAAGACAAAAGAAACTGAATCTATGAAAATTATTTATATGTAATAGAATACAATGAATTTAGGCAATGATAAAGTTTGATAACCTACCACGCAATAAAGTTGTTTTGATCGAATGTCGAGCTTATGCGCAAAATGTTGAAATTGATATTACGTCAAAATTGGGAATGGTCAATTTTGAAGTGATGGTGCAGGATGTTGAACCGGAGAAACCGATAGAGCAATCGCGGTAATATGCATAATATGATAAAAGGCAGCAAAAGGCTTCTTCAAAGTGAAACTGTTGAAAGTAGCAGTGAAAAATATCTCTTTTTTTGATAACATTATTATTATTGCTATAGTGGTAACGATGATAAAAATGTCGTTATTTTTATTATTATTATCACTATTATTACTACTATTATTACTATTTAAGAATAACGCTCTCTGGATTGGCTGCTTGTTTTTTTTTTTTTTTTTTTTATTAGATCGAATTGGATGTATTTGTCATCATATTATTATTCATATTCCTTCTTCCCTTCCTTCTTTCCCTTCTCTCTCTCCCTCTTTCTATATGGATATACTCTTTTTTCAAATTAGGTTATTTCTTTTTCAAAAAAAAATTTTTTTTTAATTTGAATACTTTATAGGCTATCGTATTATTGAATTTTATTTAAATGCATCCTTTCCCATTTCATACTTATGGCTTATTTCTGTTACGACTATTTTTTTGTCATTAATGCTAATTTTTTTTTTTTTTTTTTGGGGGAATTTAAATGGGCAAAATTTTAGAAGTAAAAAAAAATTTTTTTTTGAGTTGAATTTGAAAAAAATTTTTCAAAACTGCCACGATTTTCAACATTTTTTTTCTGTCTTTTTTTACTGCAAGTAATTTATGACTTTCCACTTTTCTCATTATTGTGTATCACAGAAGCGATCAATATTCAAAAATAATAAAATTATTATGTCCCATTTCTCTCTGCATTAAGTATTTGCGTTATTGTCGTTGATACTGAGAATCATTTAAGTCTAAATATTGTGAATATATAGCCATTATTGTAGAGCTATATTATTGAATTATATTATGTATATAAGTACTGCATTAAATGAGTATATCATTAGCTTTTGATTTTATCAATTGAAATTGAATGCTTATTATATCATAAAATCAATGAAAGGATTATCATAACAAGTTTATTCTTATCAGCCATATTGTTCTTTTGATGAAGAAAACAATTTTGATAAGCTAACCAGCTATTGTTTACCAAGCGGGTTTCAACTGCTTTTTCTTTTTTTTTATTTTAAATAGCTAGCAAGTTATATTATTTGTAATGTTTTTTTTTTCTTTTTTTTTTTCAGGAAAAATAATCTCATTTTCTTTCTTTTTTTTGGTATGTGGATGAAAATAGGATGATTCACTTGAATTATTAGTTCAATTATAATATACTTGAATCAAATAAAACACAATACAATTACATTTCAGCTTACAAACAATTAATTTTTTTTAAGAACAAAAGTTTTGAATTAAATTGTCAATTGTCATTTTTTATTCATATTTCTGAAAGTTTTGCTTTGCAATTTCTTACACAATTTCGCATAAATTATTTGTAAATTTGACAATAATTCAAGCAAAAAGCATCAGTCTAATAGATAGCAAAAAAGAAAACGAAATGCCCGTTCAAACTTTGAAAAGAATTAAAGCTGGAATGACATTCTTTTGATATAATTCTTTTCACATTGTTATACAACTAATAAGAAATTTCCAAAGTTTTTCGTTTTCCTGCAAGTAGTTCTAAAAATTGTATACAAAGAGAAGTTATTTTTTTTTTTTTGTGGTTAAACATTCAGTAACATTCATTGTTCTTGTTTATTTTGATGATGTATTTGAATGTCGTCAACTCTCAAATATGCTCACTTTAAGGTTTTTTATTTTCCCCTCTCCCACCCTCCCTTTATTTATTAGATTTTATTAAATCATTTTATTCAGTACCAATTTTTCTTTTTTTTTGAAGTTTATAATTTATAGTATTATTGTAGTAATTGGATGTCAGTTATCCTAAGATATCATTTATCTTATCAGTAAAGATTTTTATTCCTTTTTTTTTTGTCCCAACAAAACTATGTGTGAAATAGATATAACACATACATTAATAATCCAAATTTATGATTTATTTGTTTGTTTTTTTCTTTTGAATATAAATAAACTTTTAGTATATATGTTTACTTAGTTGACAGAATGAAAAAATAGGAAGAAAACCCGAAATGATACTTTTCGAATGTTCATTTGCTGGATTATTTGTTTTTTTTTCCCATTAAAATAATATATAAATATTTCTATGTTCTTTTTTATTTTTTCCTTCCTCTCTCTCTCCCTCTGTGTGTGTGTGCATTTTTCCTCCTTTTTTTGTGGTATTATTATTATTCCCTCCTTCCTCTATTTCTTATATTTATTTATTTTTTTTTAAATAAATTAAATGAAATTATAAAATTTTACTTAGTTTCTTTTTCTTAGCTATATTACTTCTGTTGAAAAGCCTTTATTACTTTGTGATTTATAATACTTCTATTTCTGATATATCATTTTATTATTTTTATATATGAATTATTGATCACTTATAATAATTGTCCAATCATTGGTAACAGTTATAGCAAGTTTTATCATTTTATACACTTTAATTTGAGCGAAAATATTATTCTTACATTTTAAACTTTTTTCTTCAAAGACTTCATATTATGCGTGTTTTTTCAGTGGAATTCTTATGTACTACGTGAAAAAAACGTATATTTCATTATTGCATTCCGTGTTTTTTTTTTTTCTCTTTCTCTCTCTCTCTGCCTCGAGTTATCAACCTTCCCGTTATTTCTCATAGTAAATAATGGATTTTTTTTTCGATTATTTTGATTATTCATATTGTTTGTGTGATAACTTTTGGTGGTTGTTCCTCTTTTTCTCTTTTCCTTTTTTTTATTTCTTATTTTATTTGCAAAAAAAAGAAAAAAAAAAACGAAGAAAGAGAAAACTTTGCTAGTATAAATGATTTATTTCCTTTTTTATTTCAATGTTCATTGCTAAAGTTATTGTATTGGAAAAAGTATTTATGTTTTCTTTTTTTGTATTTTATTCGAATGGAAAATCTTTTTTATCTATTCACATTCTTATTTTTAAGCAAAAATTTATAAATATTTAAATTCGTCCAAAAAAAAATTTTTTTTTGTTAAATGTGGTTGGTGTAATTATCAATTAATTAAATTAACCAAACTATTTTTTGCTGAGTAAAATGACATAATGAACAATTAACTGAATTAATTGAACCATTACTAAAACAAAAAATGGAGATTTTTCGATAAAAAATTTGGATTGAGAAATCATTCCGAGATTTGAACACGTAATGTGATGATTCAAGTTATACATACATTTTTTTACAAGTAAAATCACATGGAAATAACCATCATGCTATAAATAATAAAATTTAAAAATTGAATAATAAGAAATTTCCTATGATATTTTATCAAATTTAATATTTAATTGCAAGTAAATTAACGCAAATATTCCTACTATTCAATACATTAACTTATTAATTGATTACATATTCATCAAATAATGTTATACGTAACAGTATATATTTTCATATCATATATGTAGATGAAACAAAATCCATGTAATATATTTAAATTCTATCTTTTAACATGCTAATTGCACATTCGATAGAATTTTGAATTACAGAAATCTGAAATGCAATTTGACGTGCACTTAGAGTGCGTTCATCGTCATTTCGTGCTGCTTTGAATGCATCTATCTGCAATATTTTCATATTTGAATGTATCAATTTTATTTTATACTAAAAAAAAAATAAGAAAAAAAGACAAACTATTCCATTCTATCCATTTATTAATTTTAATCATTAATAATTCACGAAAGTTTAAAGTATAAACTTTACTGCTATTTTATTCTTAATCAATATATTAAATTCAAATAAATTAAACTACTTCAAGCTTTTTCATATATCCATATATTTTCAATATATTAAGTAAGTAAAATATTACTCCTTTATTTTATCATTTATCAAGAGATTTCGTTTTAATTCGAAATTTCTCTTTTTTCTTTTTTTCTTACAATCATCTGATGATCACTAACTTATTTCATTATCAAATAATTCCTATCAAACAAACAAAAATTTTCCATCAATAAAATAAAAACAAAACATACCGCATCATGAATAATACTTATAAAGCGATATTTATTTTTACTGCTGACGCTAAATAATAAATGTCGCTGTGATGGTTCATTGGGTATACCACGTGGGTTGATAAAACATCGTTCAACTCCCATCAAACGATCATTTATCCATGAAAAATTTCTCAAATCATACAAATTAGTGATATAGCTGAGTAAAGCATGTCGAATAATATTATCAAATCTTTTTGCATATTCCAGAAATTCCTGAAAATTTTGAAATTAAAATTGTTCCATTAAAAAAAAAATCGATAATATGACAATTTTATATGTTTACTCATATCAGATCAATACTACTCAGCTAATCATTCTAATTTTAATTTTAAATCTATAGATGATCGATTATCAATAGCTACTTGATTTCAATTTTATCTATATAATTATAGCAAAAACTTGCTGTTAAATTAAATTTGGAATAAAATGTTAAAATTTTCTTAATCATATACCATTGAAGTATTAAATAAGTAATTAAACTGATGTTTAGCATCATATAACATTTCTTCATAATGTTTCAATTTATCCAATGATTGTTTAATTGGTGGAGTGTAAATGTGAACAATACTAAGAGCAAGATTTGTGATATTTATTGGAAGTATGCTTAAATCAGCAAATTTGCAAGCAACTGCTGCCCAATATTTGCCCACAGCTTCATGAACCTAAAGTCAAACAAGTAAGTGTTTATCGTCATAGACAAAAATATAGAAATGTGCAAATTAAATTAAAACCGGCATTTATGCAATATGGTTTCTTTTTTTTCTCCTTGTTGTTAATTTTTGATGATAAGAAAAAAGAAAATAAGTAAGTTTGCTTGATTACTGAAAAAATAGTTTACCTAGTAACGGTTAATGAAAATAACATTAGAAGGAATTATTATTTAAACTGCTTAATTTGAATATTTTCTAACAGTATCACTAATAACAGCAGTTATACAATGAATATTAAATATTTTTCTTTTTATTTGAAAAAAAAATCAAATATATAAATTATTAAAATTAAACAAATTAGTTGCTGAATTTGTCA